ATCAGGAACTTCTGCTCCCTGCAGAAACTTGAAAAGAGAACGATACGAGCAAAGCCTGACCGAATAATCCCTTTCTAGGCAAAAGAAACTATTTTTCTTAACAGATCTTCCAAGGCGCGCTGTGGAATTCCTGCATTGTCTACTAATGAGCCAGGTATAATACACTATGATGATGACTCCAAAGCTGACCTTTTGGCTCTACAGTTCTCCTCAGTATACACGGAGAGAGAGACAAACTCGCAAATCCTCATGTACTTGCACATACAGTACCTATGGGACATATCGATTTCGATGCAGGTGATACCTTGAAGCTACTAATAGAACTGAACTCATCTTCCTCACCAGGCCCAGACGGGCCACATCCCAATTTTCTCAAGATGGTAGCAGAATTCATTGCCATCCCACTTTGTCAAATTTTTCAGCTCTCTCTTAAAGCTGGTCGACTACTTGTCGATTGGAAGACGGGTGTAGTTATGTCAAAATACAAGGGTGGAAACCACCAGGACCCTGTGAACTATCGACCAATTTGCTTGAGGTTGGTCGACTGCAAGATCATGGAAAAGCTCCTTAAATGTGCCATCCACCGACACTGCGAAGATCTGAACTTCCCTTCGTCTACTCAGCATGGCTTCCGAAAGGGATATTCCTGCAACACTAACCTGTTGGTCGCTAGAGAGAAGTGGGCTAAATCAATGGACGCTGGAAAAGGTTTAGATGTGGTCTTCATCGACTTCAGCAAAGCTTTTGACAGAGTTCCTCATCAGGAACTAGTCTCTAAGCTCTGCGGAATTGGCATAACAGGGAACCTCTTATTATGGACCAGTGACTTCTAGCAAGGCCGGAACATGCAAGTCAAGGTAAACGATACCCTTTCATCACTAGTGCCTATGTGCAGTGGCGTACCACAAGGCTCCGTTCTCAGACCGGAATTGTTCAAGCTATTTATCGATGACCTACCAAGTATGCTACAAAAGAAGTATCTGATCTACGCAGATGACCTCAAGCTATGGTCGGAAGTGCCAAGCCTCAAAGACGCCGACCGACTACAGGAAACGTTTGATCTACTACACACTTGGTCTATCAAGTGGGGTTGGCCGGTCAGCAAAGATAAGTGCTCCGTCCTTTCCATAGTTGCCGCTGAACCACTGGTCATCTATCACATTGGCGGGCACCTACTCAAGATTGCCACACAGGAAAAGGACCTGGGGACAATAGTATCCTCTGATCGCAAAACTAGACTTAACACATTAAAGAAAACTGCTGCGACGAACAGGATGTGGGGCGTCATAAGGAGATCATTCTCTAAAATGACGCCTCAGATATTTAGACTTCTTTTCACCTTCCACCTCCGTCCCATCCCTGAATTCGGACTTCCGGCCATAGCCCCTCTATCGAAGCATGAATGTAACAAGGTAGAAAAAGTTCAGCGACGTGCCTCCGAATTTGTCCTTAGGCTACGCAAGCTCCCGTACCCCGCCCGACTACAGAAGATGAATCTTTTCCCCTTAGACTATAGCCGACGTCGCAGATACCTCGTCTATATTTGGCGTATTGTACGACGAGAACTGGGAAACGAGCTAAGGCAGTTTTTCTAGCTAAGACTTGGCAGTTCGATTCGAGGTCACAGCTGGAAGCTGTTTAAACCGAGGAGGTTCAAAATCTGCTCAGATGTTGCTCTCTCTACTCGAGTAAGTAATGACTGGAACCGACTGCTGGACCCGCTTGTCAATGCGCAGTCAGAAGCGAGTTTCAAATGTTTGCCAGACATCTTCTTACTGAGTAATACAGAATCCCGCAGGACTAAGATTGCATCCTGAGATATGCCACAGCTGCCACGCCTGCAATTCTTGGAAAATCGGGAAGTAAAGGAGCTGACACGGGACCTCCTTTCTGCTCTCTACCACTCATTGACTTAATGAAAATAGCAGATTTTTTGAAGACAGCACACTTACAAGATCTTTATGGAAAACAGGAACAGGTGTGGCCCGAGTACCGAGCCCCGAGATACGCCGCACTGAACTTCGATTGGTTCCGACAAGGTGAGGTTTAAGGAGAAATTCGCTTCACCATCCTAGAACAAGATCGCCGATACCATAATCCTGAATTATATCCAATAGAATGCGATGCTCCATGCATTCGAATAACTTTAAGAAGCCCAGGTAGGCTGCATCCACCCCTACATAGACGTCCAAAGATTCCGTTCAGTTTGTAGGAGCTATCAACAGATTAGTGGTGCAGGACCGTTTTTTTCGTAATCCGTGTGTTCCGGAACGGGGATCTTGTTATTCTTCAGGCAATCCACCAACGCTTTAGCTCCATGAACGCCACTATCTTGGAGATCTTTTGGAGAAGTGTAATCGGACGATATTTCGCTGATTCTGCACGACTACCACTTTTGTATATTGCCGTGATGATCCCGTGCTTCTACGTCATGGGGACGTGCATCCCATTAAGACATTGTTGAATGCCAGACGTCCGTATATCTTTCTGAACCAGTTGGTGGGTTTCAGCCGAAAGCTTTGGTGTACTCTATGAAAGAGCCACGTGTAGATTTGCCTTTAATGTCTAACGACTGCAAAACTGAGTGCTCTAGGCGTACTACTTCCTCTTGTGAGGATCTTGAGCTCCTGTACGCAAAATGGTGGGGTTATCCAAAAGGGACTATGTACAGACCTCCCCAAGGATAATTTTTTCAACAACCTTCAAAACCACCCAGGTGGATAGAATATGCTTTATTCTAGCAATCCCCTAATCATCCGTGAATTTAAGTTGAGTACAGCTCAGCCAGAGTCTGGACTAAGGAATCCACTCACGGCAAGTGAACGACAAGAATTAAACTGTCAGGTCCGCGTGCCTTGCTTGAGTGCAGTTCGGTTAGCTTCTTGTGCAATAATGCAACATCGACAGGAGTCAATGAGTCCGTAAACCCATGAAACGGTACAGCATTTGAGTCAGAAATTGATTCACTTCTGGTGTAGGGAAAGTTACGGTTCTATTCCTGCACGTCTACGTCAGAATTTGTGCTCTGACTGATGAGTCCACTGAGTTCTTTCATCATTCGACAAAACTCACGGGAATCGTTGTTTCCTTGTATTGTCTGCACGCAGGCAAGTTTGACGTGGTGCACTTTTTCCTTAACTTGAGTAGAAAGGGACCTCAAGGAAACACTAGCATTGCTTTGGAAAGCTCCTTTCTTAAGTCTACAAACTGCTTGACATGGAATAAAGCAAAGCGATCAGCATGGATGAAAATAGTTTCTATTTAGCAGGAGAGATAATATAAGAAGTTCAGATAAGTTTTCATTCCTCACACTATATTAATGCAGCTATGTTGAAAAACATTGTGAGGTTTGTGGAAGCAACCATTTTTTGCAGCCACGCTATGTTTGAACGGCGGGATTATCACAATTTCTATATACGACCAACGCAGCAAGCAGACTTATTGTGACTTGTCACTGTAGACCACAGGGGATAGTTTACTACAAATTGAACTGAGATAGTAATTGGTGTTAGATTTTGTACCGAAATGTTATGACACAGCCGACACGATTTCGGCGCGTGCATTCATGTTCGTGTCTCGGTTTCCACACACAATTAATTTAGTGCCCAGCAAAAGAAGTATCCAAGTCTACATCATTAGCTCTCAAGCAAATAGCTAACTAGTGATTATGTAAAGTGTGTATATTTCAACTATTAACGTATACGTAAACTTTCTTTTTACTATGTAAAAGATCTATGTAAAAGAGTCCTGTACAGGATTTTCAAGGAATGTATTTCGCTATACTTCACCTCAGTGAAATGAAAGCTTTGCACTTTCCCTCCCTTCACTGAGAGTCCGGAAATGAAAACACTTAACTCTTCAGCGGTTTCCAAGCCAAAATCAGTTGGAGTGGTCAGCGGTGCTAAGTAGCTGTGATATAGTTTCTCCGCTCTGCACTGTTTTGTGACGTGCATAGAGTAGATATGTTAGCCGAAGGACGGTTTAAAAAACCTAAGTAAAGCTTTGCCAGAGATAGTAAATGGATCTTAGAGAGTATCATGGCGAAACTTAGGATACCTGAATAACAATAATACTAATACTTTAAGTAGATGGAAATTCAGTGTTACCCACCCGAAAGCACTGCACAACCACGACGCCTTGCTATGTAATTTTATCTCATCAGGTGCAGACAGCAGGCTTCAATCCCACCATCATTGGAATAGTAGCCGAAATCTCTACCCCTTTGTCTTCCGGGTCACGGTGGGTAACGCTTGGCACAACGGTAAAGGACTAATTGGAGGGTCAAGTATGGACTACACGTTATGTGATTAGATTGCGACACGCAATCTCAATGTATTGTATGTACTGTGGTTCACAATGAAATGAACCTTAATCACTGTGATCGCTCCATCTGCTTTGAGTACGGTGGCAGTGATCGCAGTTGCTAAAGTTCACTTCAATGTGAACCACAGTCCATTACATTGAGATTGTGTGATGCAATCCAATTACACAACGTGTTGTCCAAACTTGGCCCACCAAATAATAATTTAGGTTCATCCTGCCCGTTGATATAATTGCCTAGTAGGATAAGCATTAGTAAGACATGCATAATCGTACTGCTTAAAAGCCCAAGTTACGCAAACCATTCAACTGGATTTTAGGTTTAATGATGAGGAGTAATAAATCTTTTGCCCACAATAAAATTCTAAGAAAACAACCGACGAAAATCCTGTACTACTGCAACGGGATCAAATAACCATGCGTTTATAGTTACTTATTATTATTTTAACAACAATGTAAAGCTCGTAACTCATTTGCACTTCATAATAATCTTCTAATCACCGTAACTGGGAGCGGATTACAAAACACGTTTATGAAATGGATTGGAATCGGTTGAGGTGACATTATCTAAGCAGCCTATTTTGCGAACTATTGAATAAAATGCCCATTCGTACAGTAAGCACGTATACATATGCATGGTGCGATGCTTAGTACCGTAATGAAGCGTGTTGATAAAATAGTTATTGCAAGCTATCCGGCTGTTTGCGTGCGCGGACATGCGTAAGATGTGTGATATAACCCTCATGGGATGCGGAAATATTGCTTACCCAACAGGAACCACATTGTGACTGGTCCCAGATTTCCCGTATTCCGGGACACTCATTCTTGTAGTGGTCAGTTGCATTGTAAAATTTGGGCAGTTTTTCTTGGTTTGACCAGGCATGTCTGATTGTTGGTCGCTGAGCTCTCTGCGTGGCATTTTCACGGCGTGCACAATGCAGCCTGCCTGATACGTTCATCCATAGACTTTGCTTATTCGGTATCACCGAAGTCCATCTTGCATTTAGCTACAAAGCAACAAGCAAGTAACATCATAAGTCTTTGTATGGGTGTCGTATTTCAAGACTGATGAAGCGAAAAAGGAAACGCTGGACGGCACTTGCATATCAATGTCAGTGTTGTGGGACATAAAAAATCTGCATAATTTATTTTTTGACGATCATGTGACTTACTCATATCCAGCTGAAGCTCTTAGTGACATCTGATGAAGGAACGGCGCTGTTATATAATATGGAAAATCGTTAAGCATAGATTATTTTTGTAGATACCATTATTCCACACGTTTTGGGCTTTCGTATTTTCTTTCAGAATGACGGATTACTTGCTAGCTCAGGGTAGTACTGTGTGCTTTTGAAAAAACTCGTATTTATCGGTTGTTCCCTAATACATTGATTTTCCTTCATCTACCGGTCTGTTAATATACTCAGGTAATGTCTATAAATTATTTTAGGAGTTAAGCTACCGAAGGTGGCGGAGTTAAATGCTACTGGAAAAGCGCTGGATTGTGTCATGCCGTTCCCTTTCACGCCACTGTAGTCTAACCAACCACGTTTTCTACGAAGTCTCAGGTCGAGCAGTGGAGCATTAGGGTTTTCCTTAGTATTTGCGTCTCCGCTGCTCTACAGGTTAATTAAACAAAGGTTGCATGGAATACTTAAAATCAATAATTTATGAGCACTAGGTAGGAATTACCTGTGAACGGCCATTCTATGGGATTGGCCGGGATCTGGGTTTTCTACTTGAATAAAGCGACCACCTGGCTCTCTCATTTTCTTTTAGCTTAAACGGAACTTAAACAACAGTTATGCCCTCGGTTTGTTTGCGGTCAAACGTACAATGCGAAGCGGTTCGTGTTGCCTTGAATCCGAGCATATTTGCAAGTTGTGATTAACGTTAATATTGCACTGCAAAATATGTTAGAATTCCTTTGGCAATTTAGAAATCCCCCGACATCCAGGTTGCGTTTCCTTTGACATCGGGTCAAAGGTTGACATGTTGACATTTGCAAAATAATGCACCTTTCGATCTTATTGTACCCAGCGCCCGAGTCTATTGCTACTAGTTTTTTCGTTTTCATTCTGGAGTATTTTTTCACAAATAGTGGGGCTTTTAGCACGGTTTCGCATTTTTAGATGTCCCAATGAAGTAATCGGAAAGCACAAGAGCACCTGCTGGATGTTAGAAATTCCATTCAAATTGTTGTCTGTATTTTTTGTGGTATCCCGTGCTATACATTCATTCTGTATTCATTTCTACTGGCAATAGCCATCAGGCGTCATGACCATGACGTATGTACCAACAAGAAATTTGTCGAGACACTAACTCTACCCTGGTTCCCTGTAAGACGAACACTTAGTGTGGACAACGCCATGCAAACACACACACACACACTCTCTGATCGCAGTGGGGCCAATCACCTACCTTGGTCACAGACCATCTGGATTTTGAACCTGTACCCTTGTCAGATGTTTACGTACGTTTCATTTATTTGTGGTGTATTAGGCTGATGAAGAACCACTGGAAAAGAGCTTATTCGAGAACATTTGTCCAGATTTTGTATAGCTGTTTGCTGACTACCTTGATACTAGAGGTATATTATGTGTTCCCTAATATCAATATGAATTGTAACCTCTGAACACGTTTCAAGCCATGGCTGAAGTTGGATTTCGCGTCACCGAAACATTGAAAGACTGACAAGTGTAGCGTGTCAGAGGATTGTTCTAACAAGTCAACTGGAAGACGTCGTCGAACGTTGACTTGAGTGTGAATGTAGTTTTCGCCTGAACTCCCCATTTGGTCTTTTGTGTCGTTAGAGCAAAGCATTTACAGTGTGTTTTATCATCTATCTTGTCAGCTCAGGCTCTGCCCACCATCGGTAGTTGTGACAACGCCAGCCAGCTGAACATGAGGTGCAAATCAAACACACTGTCCATGCCGCTCCGACTCTTATTAAGTGGTTATGATGAAACTGTCCAGCCGCCTGCGAAGAATCACTTTGTCCTTTCATCCCCCTGAGTTTATTACGACCCACTTAACCCCGCACACCAGTGATCCACGGAACCCACTCAGCCACTAAAGCCCCATTTCCGCCTTCTGGTCAGACCGCTGGTTCAGATCGATGGGACGTCAATGAACGGAGAGTGTAACCACGTTACATTCTTCAGCAAATCTCCCTGCACAACAAGCATGTGCGGGACTACAATGTACACTACATTATGCATATTTCCATCCAACAGAATGTAGGGTGTATGAAGAAAATCTGTACACCTTTTGATCTTCCGCTTTGTCGGAACAGTCGGAACAGTCCAGAATTCAACGAAGTATTTATTTATTTACTGCATCACCTACGTGACTGTGGATTATAGTGTTGTTCTTTTGCTAGGTCGGTGCATTAATGCCCTATTAGTAAACCTGATACACACCTATATTACAGGCTTCTAAATGAGTCAGCTCACCATTACCTTGCTAAATTTATTTTTGCTCTCATTCACATGATTGGCGGGCACACACAGTTCATAACTATTGGAAAAACTTAGTTTATCTTTATCTATATTCTCCATCCCATTGTGCACGAAGTGACAATCAACAAACACATTTCTTCATAATCCTCAAATTCAAAGCAGTGTTGTCAGATTGTTTGAGCTTAGAAGTATGACATTCAAATGTGAATCATTTGGCCAAAATTTACCGAGTATTTCGTGACTACCAAATACCGAAAATCCCCTTTTCAGGTCATAGTCTGCACCATGAGATTTGTTTGTCAATTTGCAAAATATATGTAGAACCATCTCACATTTAAGTATGTTTTTCTGTTCTTTATTTGCTGATACTAATACTAATATGCAAGGAAAATGACAGCATAAAGACTAGACAGACTTCAGTAAAAAACCGTATTGGCAAGTAATATACCCGAATGCAAGTCCTCTCCTCCTCTGTGTTGATGCTCCCGCTACTGGTCTCGGGTTAAAGCTGTTACAGCTTGGTTCCATTTTGATCCTTTCAAGCTGCACATATGGAAGTTTGTATCAGTGAATCAACTAACCGCCGAAAGTTGGTACATCAAACAGAACCACAGATTGACATCCTTGAGAACTGCATGACCATGCTACTAAAGGATTGTTAATATTACCCCAACTCATGAAGGTCGGATCAAGAAGAGATCACTGACAACTTTGGAGGGAAATTTGTAACACTTGAGATGTTGCTTTCTCTAAGTCCATTTCTCTCGACAGGGTTTATTACTCTGATGGGATATTTGCCTATGTCCCAGTGCGGACCCACGTTAATGAAAATAGCGATAAACTTCCATATGTTCGCAGTTAATAGTTATGACAAAATTGGAACTCTCTGTGGCACATTTTCAAGAGTTTGGAATCGTGGCGTGATTTACTTGGAGAGATGCTAGAAACTTCTTTCATGTTGAAGTGATAGACTAATCAGGAACATTGTAGTGAAAATTGTACCTCATGGCTAGGAATGAGAAAACTTGTAGTTCCAGTTGGTTTCTGCCAACTATCAGAAAAAAACGCAAAAGTGTGGTTCTGGTAAACGCACACATTGGGGTATTTATAACTATGACTTCTTGATTGTACTTACCGTGGGGTGCACGTTTTGCCCGAACCCATTCGATGGATCGTCTTTTCCTTCATCGCAACGCAAACTCCATGGAAGTGAACAGAACACGCTCGCATATAGCACGATCTTAAAAAGGTGCATGGTATACGCAAGCAGATGATGACGTTAGTGTGGAATCCGCAATTTAAATGTATGGCGCCTGCGCAAATTGTCTACCTGCACAGTTCATCGGTCAAACTGGGCGCACAAAAAATAGCTAAAGACAGCTCGGTCAGTTGGTATATCTCGCGATTTTTTGCTTCGTACCATCATGGTGGACTAATTATTAATTTTTGCTACCTATCAGCTAAATTATGTGGTTCAATTCTGCGTGATCCACCAGACATATACATCTGCAATAATTACACATGGCATATCTGTGAGGTTCTCAGACGAAAAGAAAAGGATACCAAGCTGCAAATGGAACATCTGGCTCACAGTATTTCTGTAGTATTAAACGCCTTTGAGAAATAAAGCCTATGTTGGGTCACGCAATACTCTGCTGCTTTCCAGGTGTGACTAAAGTAGATGTAGAAAAAGGTTGGTTAGTATCTAACTAGTTCGTCCCAACAACTCACAAACTTGATCAAATATACTCTAGTACGGAAATGCACTAGATGATCACTCTGTAGTACTAAGGCTCGTTTTGGCCCCCATTCCGTCGGGCCCTCGAAATGGAATCAAATGTGTGACTGCTGGCAGTTTGCATCAACTTGCCAGCAGCTTGTGGCACTGAGCCAATGGGGACGGTGATCGATTTTCACAGATTGAAAAAGAAGTAAGGCATAGCGCAACCTATCCTCCAGCCCCATGCAGCCTAGCAATCTCGCAAAGAACAACAGCCGGCCTCCGGAGTTCACGACTTCCACAGCCCGATAACTAGGCTCGACCTAACATTTGCGAACTGTGCGGACGAATGTTTTAGGTTTCTGATGGGTAGGGGGAATTTTGACAGAAATATAATTTTTTCGTCCGAGTGGATCAGTTAAATTTCATCCAAAAGTTCTTTTTACCTATCATTAAAATGCTGGGTGTTGTAAGCTCATCCCACGGAATTTCAAAGTTGTATCGTTAAAACGGTTTAAGTAATCCTTACAGATGCGTGTATGACATGGAGTAAAGTTACTTTGGGGGAAATGGCTTGGGTGTTAGCTTACTTTTTGTCCCTGCCAAGTGTGTATTTTGACCAGCAATTGACGTATGCAAACAATATAAAAATCTAGATAGCAGACAGTCGAACTTTTCTACGTACCAGTACCTCCTCTGGTTTGTTACATTTTGTAGCGGAACCATAGCTAATCCACGATAACGACCAAATACAGTCTCCGTGATTAATTCCACAGAAATATTTAAGACCGTTCTCGACTTATCTGAACTGGTCATGTAGACACAGGATACTTCTACTCGAATCAGCGATGTAGATACCGCCGTGGACATATTTACACCGGAAGCTCAAACAGATTGAAATTCTAGATTGTACATGATACCAACAGTCGTTTCTCGAGTAATCGAGTACAGTAACATAACATTGCCTATACCTTATCACAAACCACTTTGTGGTATGTTCCGTAATCACTAACGCCTACGGTGGTCGGTGGAAATACTACGAAGTTATCATCCTCGCCTTTTGTTTCATTAGTCTTGGTTTGTTTTTCAAGAAAAGCACTCCGATACCCGATATGTGTCTGATAGAATTACAGCAAGTTTAGATATTGATTTATATATTTCAATTTATACATTTCACTGCATACAATTCAGTGCAAAGTTTCCCCACCGTAGAATTGGGGTAGCTGAACGATGGCCAAATTTTTGTCCATTGTGAGCGGCATACCTTCGAAAACACATGAAAAGCACAATAAGCTAATCATGCATGTTGTCTCCTCGCCGTCGTAGATGCTGCTTGTCACACTATAGACAACAGGTTTGAAAACCGGCTTCTCACCTCTTCATAGTGCATAGGCATGAACTATTACCTAATAGATACTGGGCATACAGAACATTGGATGACACAATCAATGTTATACAATCCATCTATCAAGTGGTAAATATGTCCACGGCGGTATCTACATCGCTGATTCGAGTAGAAGTATCCTGTGTCTACATGACCAGTTCAGATAAGTCGAGAACGGTCTTAAATATTTCTGTGGAATTAATCACGGAGACTGTATTTGGTCGTTATCGTGGATTAGCTATGGTTCCGCTACAAAATGTAACAAACCAGAGGAGGTACTGGTACGTAGAAAAGTTCGACTGTCTGCTATCTAGATTTTTATATTGTTTGCATACGTCAATTGCTGGTCAAATTACACACTGGGCAGGGACAAAAAATAAGCTAACACCCAAGCCATTTCTTCCAAAGTAACTATATTCCATGTCATACACGCATCTATACGGATTACTTAAACCGTTTTAACGATACAACTTTGAAATTCCGTGGGATGAGCTTACAACACCCAGCATTTTATTGATAGGTAAAAAGAACTTTTGGATGAAAGTTAACTGATCTACTCGGACGAACCAGTTACATTTCTGTCAAAATTCCCCCTACCCATCAGCAACCTAGAACATTCGTCCTCACAGTTCGCAAATGTTAGGTCGAGCATAGTTATCGGGCTGTGGAAGTCGTGAACTCCGGAGGCCGGCTGTTGTTCTTTGCGAGATTGCTAAGCTACATTGGGCTCGGAGGATAGGTTGCGCTATGCCTTACTTCTTTTTCAATCTGTGAAAATCGACCACCGTCCCCGTTGGCTCAGTGCCACAAGCTGCTGACAAGTTGGTGCTAACTGCCAGCAGTCACACGTTTTGGTTCCATTTCGGAGGACCGACTGAATGTGGGCCAAAAACGAGCCTCAGTACTACAGAGTGATCATCTAGAGCATTTCCGTACTAGAGCATAGTTGATCACGTTTGCGAGTTGTTGGGACGAACCAGTTGGATACTAACCAACCTTTTTCTACATCTACTTTAGTTAAACCTGGAAATTAGCAGAGTATTGCGTGACCCAACATAGGCTTTATTTCCCAAAGGCGTTTAATACAACAGAAATACTACAAGCCAGATGTTCGATTTGCAGCTTGGTATCCTTTTCTTTCCATCTGGGAACCACACAGATATACCATGTGTAATTATTGCAGATGTATATGTCTGGTGGATCAGGCAGAATTGAATCACATAATTTAGCCGATAGGTAGCAAAAATTAATAATTAGTCCACCATGATGCTACGAAGCAAAAAAATCGCGAGCTATACCAACTGACCAAGTTGTCTTTAACTATTTTTTGTGCACCCAGTTTGACCGATGAACTGTGCAGGTAGACAATTTGCACAGGCGCCATACATTTAAATTGCGGATTCCACACTAACATCACAACTGTTTGCGTATACAATGCGCCTTCTTACGATCGTGCTATATGCGAGCGTGTTCTGTTCACTTCCATGGTGTTTGCGTTGTGAAGAAGGAAAAAACGATCCATCGAATGGGTTCGGGCAACACGTACACCCCACGGTAAGTACAATCAAGAGGTCATAGTTATAAATACCCCAATGTGTGCGTTTACCAGAACCACACTGTTGCGTTTTTTTCTCTGATAGTTAGCAGAAACCAACTGGAACTACAAGTTTTCTCATTCCTAGCCATGAGGTACAATTTTCACTACAATGTTCCTGATTAGTCTATCACTTCAACATGAAAGAATTTTCTAGCATCTCTCCAAGTAAATCACGCCAAGATTCCAAACTCTTGAAAACGTGCCACAGAGATTTCCACTTTTATCATTACTATTAACTGCGAACATATAGAAGTTTATCGCTATGTTCATTAACTTGAGTCCGCACTAGGACATAGGCAAATATCCCATCAGAGTAATAAACCTTATCGAGAGAAATGGACTTAGAGAAAGTAATGTCTCAAATGTTACAAATTTCCCTCCAAAGTTGTCAGTGATCTCTTCTTGATCCGCCCTTCATGAGTTGGGGTAATATTAACAATCCTCTAGTAGCACGGTGATGCAGTTCTCAAAGATGTCAATCTGTGGTTCTGTTTGATGTACCAGCGTTCAGCGGTTAGTTGATTCACTGATACAAACTTCCATATGTGCAGCTTGAAAGGAGCAAAATGGAACCAAGCTGTAACAGCTTTAACCCGAGACCAGTAGCGGGAGCATCAACACAGAGGAGGAGAGGACTTGCATTCGGGTATATTACTTGCCAATACTGTTTTGTTGCTGAAGGTCATCTAGTCCATATGCTGTCATTTTCCTTGCATACTACTAATAGTATCAGCAAATAAAGAACAGAAAAACACATAATTAAACGCGAGATTGTTCTCTATATATTTTGCAAATTTACAAACAAATCTCATGGTGCAGACTATGATCTGAAAAGGGGATTTTCGGTGTTTGATAGTCACCAAATACTAGGTAAATTTTGGCCAAAGGATTCACATTTGAATGTCATACTTCTAAGCTCAAACACAGACAACACTGCTTTGAATTTGAGGCTTATGAAGAAATGTGTTTGTTGATTGTCACTTCGTGCACAATGGGATGGAGAATATAGATAAAGATAAGCTAAGTTTTCCCAATAGTTATGAACTGTGTGTGCGCACCAATCATGTGAATGAGAGAAAAAATAAATTTAACAAGGTAATGGTGAGCTGACTCATTTAGAAGCCTGTAATATAGGTGTGTATCAGGTTTACTAATAGGGCATCAATGCACCGACCTAGCAAAAGAACAATACTATAATCCACAGTCACGTAGGTGATGCAGTAAATAAATAAATACTTCTTTGAATTCTGGACGTTGTGTGAGACTGTTGAGACAAAGAGGAAGATCAAAAGGTGTACAGATTTTCTTCAAATACCATACATTCTGTCGGATGGAAATATGCATAAAGTAGTGCACATGCTTGTTGTGCAGGGAGAATTGCGGAAGAATGTACCGTGGTTAGATTCTCCGTTCATTGATGTCCCATCGATCTGAACCAGCGGTCTGACCAGAAGGCGGAAATGGGGCTTTAGTGGCTGAGTGGGTTCCGTGGATCACTGGTGTGCGGGGTTAAGTGGGCCGTAATAGACCCAGGGGGATGGAAGGCCAAAGCGATTCTTCGTAGGCGGCTGGACAGTTGCATCAAAACCACCTAATAAGAGTCGGATCGGCATGAACAGTGTGTTTGATTTGCACCTCATGTTGAGCTGGCTGACGTCACAACTGTCTATGGTGGGCAAAGCATGAGCTGACAAGATGGATGACAAAACACACTGTAAATGCTTGCTCTAACGACACCAAAGACCAAGTGGGAAGTTAAAGCGAAAACTACATTCACACTCAAGGCAACGCTCGACGGCGTCTTCCTATCGACTTGTTAGAACAATCCTCCGACACAATACACTTGTCAGTCTTTCAATGTTTCGATAACGCGAAATCCAACTTCAGCCACGTCTTGAAACGTGTTCAGAGGTTACAATTTATATTGGAATTAAGGAAGACATAAAATACCTGTAATATCAGGGTAGTCAAGAAACAGCTATACAATATCTGGACAAATGTTCGCGAATAAGCCCGTTTCCCGTAGTTCCTCATCAGCCTAATACACCACAATCAATGAAACGTACGTAAACATCTGACAAGGGTACAGGTTCAAAATCCAGATGGTCTGTGACCAAGCTAGGTGATTGGCCCCACTGCGATCAGAGTGTGTGTGTGTGTGTGTTGATGGCGTTGTCCACACTAAGTGTTCGTCTTACAGGGAACCAGGGTAGAGTTAGTGTCTCGACAAATTTCTTGTGCGTACATAGGTCAGGGTCATGACGCCTGATGGCTAATGCAAGTAGAAATAAATAAAGAATCTACGTATAGCACGGGATACTACAAAAAATACAGACAACAATTGGAATGGAATATCTAAAATCCAGCAAGTGCTTTTGTGCTTTCCGAGTAGTTTATTGGGACATCTAAAAATGCGGAACCGTGCTAAAAGCCCTACTATTTGTGAAAAGATACTCCAGAATGAAAACGAACAAACTAGTAGCAATAGGCTGGGGCGCTGGGTACAATAAGATCGAAAGGTACATTATTTTGCAAATGTCAACATGTCAACCTTTGACCCGATGTCAAAGGAAACGCAACATAGATTTTGGGGGATTTCTAAATTGCCAAAAGAATTCTAACATTTGTTATAGTGCAATATTAATGTTAATCACAACTTGCAAATATGCTCAGATTCAAGGCAACACGAACCGCTTCGCATTGTACGTATGACCGTAAACAAACCGAGGGCATAATTGTTGTTTAAGTTCCGTTTAAGCTAAAAGAAAATGAAAGAGCCAGGTGGTCGCTTTATTCAAGCCAAAAATCCAGATCCCGGTCAATCCCATATAATGGCCGTTCACAGATAATTGCTACCTGGTGCTCATAAATTACTGATGTTAAGTATCCCAAGCTAACTTTTTTTAATTAACCGTAGAGCAGTGGAGACGCAAATACTAAGGAAAACCCTAATGCTCCACTGCTCGACCTGAGACTTCGTAGAAAACGTGGTTGGTTAGACTACAGTGGCGTGAAAGGGAACGGCATGACACAATCCAGCGCTTTTCCAGTAGCATTTAACTCCGCCACCTTCGGTAGCTTAACTCCTAAAATAATTTATAGACATTACCTGAGTATATTAACAGACCGGTAGATGAAGGAAACTCAGTGTATTAGGGACCATCGGATAAATACGAGTTTGTTCAAAAACACACAGTGCTACTCTGAGATAGCAAGGAATCCGTCATTCTGAAAGAAGAACGAAAGCCCAAAACGTGCGGAATATTGGTATCTACAATAATAATCTATCCTTAACGATTTTCTGTATTATGTAACAGCGCAGTTTCGTCAACAAACGTCGCTGAAAGGCTTCAGCTAGATATAGGTCACATGCTCGTGAAAAAATAAATTATGGAGGCAGATTTTTTTGGTGTCCCTCAACACTGACATTGATATGCAAGTGCCGTCCAGCATTTCCTTTTTCGCTTCATCAATCTTGAAATACGACTCCCATACAAAGACTTATGATGTTACTTGCTTGATGCTTTGTAGCTAAATGCAAGATGGACTTCGGTGATACCGAATAAGCAAAGTCTATGGATGAACGTATCAGGCAGGCTGCATTGTGCACGCCGTGAAAATGCCACGCAGAGAGCTCAGCGACCAACAATCAGACATGCCTGGTCAAACCAAGAAAAACTGCCCAAATTTTACAATGCAACTGACCACTACAAGAATGAGTGTCCCGGAATACGGGAAATCTGGGACCAGTCACAATGTGGTTCCTGTTGGGTAAGCAATATTTCCGCATCCCATGAGGGTTATATCACATATCTTACGCATGTCCGCGCACGCAAACAGCCGGATAGCTTGCAATAACTATTTTATCAACACGCTTCATTACCGTACTAAGCATCGCACCATGCATATGTATACGTGCTTAATGTACGAATGGGCATTTTATTCAATAGTTCGCAAAACAGGCTGCTTAGATAATGTCACCTCGGCCGATTCCAATCCAATTCACAAACGTGCTTTGTAATCCGCTCCTAGTTACGGTGATCTGAAGGTTCTTACGAAGCGCAAATGAGTTACGAGCATTATATTGTTGTTAAAATAATAATAAGTAACTATAAATGCATGGTTATTTGATCCCGTTGCAGTAGTACAGGATTTTCTTTGGTTGTTTTTTTAGAATTTTACTGTGGGCAAGAGATTTACTAGTCCGCATCATTAAACCTAAAACCAGTAGGATGGTTTGCGTAACTTGGGCTTTTGAGCAGTACGATTATTTATGTCTTATTAATGATTATCCTACTAGGCAATTATATCAACGGGCAGGATGAACCTAAATTATTATTTGGTGGGTCAATTTTGGACAACACGTTGTGTGATTGGATTGCGACGTGCAATCTCAATGTAATGGACTGTGGTTCACATTGAAGTGAACCTTAGTCACTGCGATCACTGTGACCGTACTCAAAGCAGATGGAGTGATGGCAGTGACTAAGGTTCACTTCAATGTGAACCACAGTACATTAGATTGAGATTGCGCGTCGCAATCCAATCACACAACGTGTAGTCCATACTTGACCCTCCAATTAGTCGTTTACCGTTGTGCAGAGCGTTGCCCACCGTGACCCGGAAGACAAAGGGGTAGAGATTTCGGCTACTATTCCAATGATGGTGGGATTGAAGCCTGCTGTCTGCACCTGATGAGATAAAATTACATAGCAAGGCGTCGCGGTTGTGCAGGGCTTTCGGGTGGGCAACACCGAATTTCCATCTGCTTAAAGTATTATTATTATTGTTATTCAGAAATCCTAAGTTTTGCTAGGATACTCTCTAAGATCCATTTACTATCTCGGGCAAAGTGTTAGTTAGGATTTGTAAACCGTCCTTCGGCTAACATATCTACTCTGCGCACGTCACAAAGCAGTGTAGAGCGGAGAAACTATATCACAGTTACTTAGCACCGCTGACCACTCCCACTGATTTTGGCTTGGAAACCGCTGAAGAGTTACTTGCTTTCATTTCCGGACTCTCAGGGAAATGCGGGCAGGTACAACGTTGTCGTTTCACTCAGGTGAAGTATAGAGAAATACTTTCCTTGAAAATTCGGTATAGGGCCATTCGCAAAGGTGTCGCTTTTGACAGAGCAGATTGTAACTGTATTAATGCTACAGTCGAGAAAATGAAACAGCTCTTTTGTACAGTAACAGGAAAGTTTACATATACATTAATAGGTGAAATATACACACTTTACATAAGCACTAGTTAGATATTTGATTGAGGGCCAATGATGTAAGCTTGGATATTTCCTTTTGCTGGGCACTAAATTAATTGTATGTGGAAACCGAGACAAGTGCATGAATGCACGTGCCGAAATCGTGGCGGCTGTCATAACATTTCGGTCCAAAATCTAACACCAATTACTATCTCAGTTCAATTTGTAGTAAACTATCCCCTGTGGTCTACAGTAAGACAAACCACAATAAGTCCGCTTGCTGCGTTGGTCGTATATGGAAATTGTGATAATCCCACCGTTCAAACATAGCGTGGCTGCGAGCAATTGTTGCTTCCACAAAACTCACTCTGTTTTTCAACACAGCTGTGGCTGAGCTGTACTCAGTGTGTTTAAAACAAAACTCACGAATGGTTGGGAGATTGTTAGAATAAAGCCTATTCTATCCACCTCGGTTGTTTTGAAGGTTTTTAAAGAATTTATCCTTGTAGAGGTCTGTACATAATCCCGTTTGGATAACCCCGCCATTTTGTGTATAGGAGCTCAAGATCCTCACAAGAGGAAGTAGTACGCCTAGAGCACTCAATTTTGCAGTCGTTAGACATTAAAGGCAAATCTACACGTGGCTCTTTCATCGAGTACACCAAAGCTTTCGGCTGAAACCCACCAACTGATTCAGAAAGATATACAGACGTCTGGCATTCAACAATGTCTTAATGGGATGCACGTCCCCATGACGTGGAAGCACGGGATCATCACTACAATCTACAAAAGTGGCACCCGTGCAGAATCAGCGAAGTATCGCCCGATAACACTTCTTCAAAAGATCTCCAAGTTAGTGACTTTCATGTTAGCTAAAGCGTTGGTGGAGTACCTGAAGAATAACAAGATCCTCGTTCCGGAGCACACGGATTTCGAAAAAATCGGCCCTGCACCACTAATCTGTTGATATCTCGTACAAGCTGGACGGAATCTTTGGACGTCGATGTAGGGAGTGGATGCAGCCTACCTGGGCTTCTCAAGGCCATTCGAATGCATGGAGCATCTCATTCTACTGGATACAATTCAGAATTCTGGTATCGATGATCTCGTCCTAGGATGGTGAAGCAACTTTCTCCTTAAACCTCACCTGAATGTGAGGGTTCCCAGTACCTTGTCGGAACCAATCGAAGTTCAGTGCGGCGTATCTCGGGGCTCGGTACTCGGGCCACACCTGTTCCTGTTTTCCATAAAGATCTTGTAACTGTGTTGTCTTCAAAAAATCTGCTATTTTCATTAAGTCAATGAGTGGTAGAGAGCAGAAAGGAGGTCCCGTGTCAGCTCCTTTACTTCCACCATTTTCCAAGAATTGCAGGCGTAGCAGCTGTGGCATATCTCAGGACGCAATCTTAGTCCTGCAGGATTCTGTATTACTCAGTAAGAAGATGTCTGGCAAACATTTGAAACTCGCTTCTGACTGCGCATTGACAAGCGGGTCCAGTAGTCGGTTCCAGTCATTACCTACACGAGTAGAGAGAGCAACATCTGAGCGGACTTTGAACCTCCTCGGTTTAAACAGCTTCCAGCTGTGAGCTTGAATCGAACTGCCAAATCTTAGCTGATAAACTGCCTCAGCTCGTTTCCCAGTTCTCCTCGTAGGATACGCGAAGTATAGATGAGGTCTCCTCGACGTCGGCTATAGTCAAAGGGAAAATAGCTCATCCTCTGTAGTCGGGCGGGATACGGGAGCTCGCGTAGCCTAAGGACAAATTCGGAGGCATGTCGCTGAAATTTTTCTACCTTGTTACTTTCATGCTTCGATAGAGGGGCTATGGCCGGAAGTCCGAATTAAAGGATGGGTCGGACGTGGAAGGTGAAAAGAAGTCTAGATATCTGCGGCGTCATTTTAGAGAATGATCTCCTTATCACGCCCCACATCCTGTTCGTCGCAGCAGTTTTCTTTTATGTGTTAAGTCTAGTTTTGAGCGCAGGGAATACTATTGTCCCCAGGTCCTTTTCCTGTGTGGCAATCTTGAGTAGGTGCCCGCCAATGTGATAGATGACCAGTGGTTCAGCGGCAACTATGGAAAGGACGGAGCACTTATCTTTGCTGACCGGCCAACCCCGCTTGATAGACCAAGTGTGTAGTAGATCAAACATTTCCTGTAGTCGGTCGGCGTTTTTGAGGCTTGACACTTCCGACCATAGCTTGAGGTCATCTGCATAGATCAGACACTTCGTTTGTAGCATACTTGGTAGGTCATGGATAAATAGCTTGAACAATTCCGGTCTGAGAACGGAGCGTTGTGATACATCACTGCACATAGGCACTAGAGATGAAAGGGTATCGTTTACCTTGACTTGCATGTTCCGGCCTTGCTAGAAGTCACTGATCCATAATAAGAGGTTCCCTGTTATGCCAATTCCGCAGAGCTTAGAGACTAGTTCCTGATGAGGATCTCTGTCAAAAGCTCTGCTGAAGTCGATGAAAACCACATCTAACCCTTTTCCAGCGTCCATTGATTTAGCCCACTTCTCTCTAGCGACCAGCAGGTTAGTGTTGCAGGAATATCCCTTTCGGAAGCCATGCTGAGTAGACGAAGTGAAGTTCAGATCTTCGCAGTGTCGGTGGATGGCAAATTTAAGGAGCTTTTCCATGATCTTGCAGTCGACCAACCTCAAGCAAATTGGTCGATAGTTCACAGGGTCTTGGTGATTTCACCCTTGTATTTTGACACACGTCTTCCAATCGACAAGTAGTCGACCAGCTTTAAGAGAGAGTTGAAAAATTTGACAAAGTGGGACGGCAATGAATTCTGCTACCATCTTGAGAAAATTGGGACGTGGCCCGTCTGGGTCTGGTGAGGAAGATGAGTTAAGTTCTATTAGTAGCTTCAAGGTATCACCTGCATCGAAATCGATATGTCCCATAGGTACTGTATGTGCAAGTACATGAGGATTTGCGAGTTTGTCTCTCTCTCCGTGTATACTGAGGAGAACTGTAGAGCCAAAAGGTCAGCTTTGGAGTCATCATCATAGTGTATTATACCTGGCTCATTAGTAGACAATGCAGGAATTGCACAGCGCGCCTTGGAAGATCTGTTAAGGTTGAAAAATAGTTTCTTTTGCCTAGAAAGGGATTATTCGGCCAGGCTTTGCTCGTATCGTTCTCTTTTCAAGTTTCTGCAGGGAGCAGAAGTTCCTGATGACATTGTATTTATAGTAATCTGAGTCTAAGCAGGAAAGCTTGAATCTGTCCCATAGTTTCCATCTTTGTTGCATGTTGGCTCCGTAATGGAATATTGCCTCATTAGTGAATATGTGGGAATGAACGATCATGCTCTCGCCTGAGACACATACACTAGTTTCCTGTAACGCCGATCAATACTGCGACGGGAGAATAGGCTATGTGGCAGTGAATAGTCTTTAGGCGGCATAGCTTTTCAAGACTCCTTTCTCAAAACTTCCCGTTTCATATTTCCAAGGCCTAATTGTAAGGAATACCTATTTTGCTTAGGTAGGTTGTTAGAAGGTAACTTTCAGTCTACAATAGCTTTGCAAATAACCC